TTGTCTCAGTCTTTTGTTTTGTGTGTCTTTGTCTTTTGTCTTGTTGTCTCTGTCTTTTGTCTTGATTTTCTCCGTCTTTTGTCTTGATTGTCTCCGTCTTTTGTCTTGATTGTCTCTGTCTTTGTCTTGATTGTACATTCTCTCAGACCCCTGTTCGCCCATCTCTTCATGTTTTCCACTTCTATCGTTGTCTACCCATTAAAGCCCCTATTTTAAGACTAGACTCGTCGTTTTGACGATCAGTCGGCACTCAGTGGATGATGTGGTCAACATCACACGGTCCCTCTTCACTTCCCAAGGTCATTTTAAAAACATTGGCATTGATGGGGATTTGAGCCTAAGACCTTCCGTCTGGAAAGCGTGCATCTAGCCATTGAGATAAGCCGCTGCGCCTTGTCCGCAGCTGTTGGTGCTACTGTTTCTTCGGAGATTTCAGCAAATGACTTGATAGATCCACATATTTTTGCTATTCTACCATGCCTCGTTTTATTCGTAGTCTTTCACACTTTTTTTTTAAATTCTATTGTTCATAACTTCCATCCTAAATGACCGCTTTATATATATATATCTCACTGAAAGAAATCAAAGCACTGGCAGATTTTTTAACTGAAATAATAACTAAACTTTTAAATGATTTTTATAATAGTGGGTATATTCCAAATGACCTTTTAAAATCCAATTTTATAGCTCTGCCAAAGAAACCAGGCACTTTAAAATGTGAAGACAACCCACAATAAGTCTTATGAGTCACGTGACTAAAATTTTACTGAGAATAATTATGAGAAAAATAAGAAACAAAATTAAACCAGAAATCAGCGATGAACAATGTGGATTTGTAGAAGGAAAAGGTACAAACAATGCCATATATACATCCTAAGGACATTGTCAGTAAGAGCTATAGAAGTAAAGACTGATTTGTACTTATGCTTCATAGACGACACAAAAGCATTTGACTGTGTGGAGCATGAAGAAGTAATCAAACTGTTAGAAAAATTAAACATCGATGGAAAAGGTCTACGTATAATAAAGAATATGTACTGGCAGCAAACAGCAGCTATTAGAATTACCAACTGTTTAGGTACATTTCAAAACATAAAGAGGGCCGTACGACAAGGATGTGTACTGTCACCTGATTTGAGATCTTTAATTTATATGCCCGGAAATGTGGTTGGTGAGCATAATATAAATAATTTACGTTATGCTTATGACACAGTCTTGATAGCAACAAGTCAGAAAGAACTACATGAATTGATAGACATTGTGGTGTTAGAAAGTGGGAGAATGGGCCTCAGTTTGGATAATGGGAATACAGAAGTAATGGTGGTATCAAAGAAATGACTAATAAAAGTCGATGGTGTAATTTTGGGACAAGTACAGAAATTTAAGTATCTGGGCACATGAATAACATCAGATGGAAGGCGCATAACTGAAATAAGAAGCCGAATAGGACAGGCATAAACTGCCTTTTATAAAATGAAGAACATCTTGTGCAAGATATCCTTGCCATTGAGAGTTAGAAAAAGAATTCTTGCTTGCTACATACATCCAGTTTTAACATATGGCTGTGAATCCTGGACAATCGGTAGGCAGGCCAAACAATTTCTTGAGGCCTCATAGATGTGGTTTTACAGAAAAATGCTCAGAATACCTTGGACAGCCAAAAAGAGCAACCAAGAGGTTTTGAAAGAGGCGGGAGCCCGAAGACAACTTATCACAGACATCCCAAGGAGACAGTCATTGTTTTTCGGCCATGTTATGAGTACAGGGAAAATAGAACATGTTGTGACCACCGGAAATATCTGTGGAAGGAGGGATAGAGAAAGACAACGAGAGAAGATTCTTGACAGTCTTGTTGCATGGCATGGAGGTGTGTCGGTACACAAACTGATACATGCTGCAAGAGATAGTATATTATGGAGAGGCATGATCGCCCACTCCAGTCGGCAATGCACCTGATGTATGTATGTATGTATGTATGTATGTATGTATGTATGTATGTATGTATGTATGTATGTATGTATGTATGTATGTATGTATGTATGTATGTATGTATGTATGTATGTATGTATGTATGTATGTATGTATGTATGTATGTATGTATGTATGTATGTACGTACGTACGTACGTACGTACGTACGTACGTACGTACGTACGTCTGTCTGTCTGTCTGTCTGTCTGTCTGTCTGTCTGTCTGTCTGTCTGTCTGTCTGTCTGTCTGTCTGTCTGTCTGTCTGTCTGTCTGTCTGTCTGTCTGTCTGTCTGTCTGTCTGTCTGTCTGTCTGTCTGTCTGTCTGTCTGTCTGTCTGTCTGTCTGTCTGTCTGTCTGTCTGTCTGTCTGTATGTATGTATGTATGTATGTATGTATGTGTATGTATGTTTGTATGTATGTATGTTTATATGTATGTATGTATGTATGTTTATATATGCATATAGTATGTATACTTATATATATATGTATATATATATATATATATATATATATATATATATATATATATAT